GAATAGAGGCTGCATCACTGTGCCTACCGTGATACTGTCTTATAATATTTATGTTTTAAAAGTTAAAAGTTCAAGCAGGTGAAAATAAAGTTTTCCTCCCTCTAGGTCCTGTCTCCTGGCTCATGTCCAGAGACACCCATAGTTGTAGGTTTCTAGTTCATTCTTGAAGAGATGTTCTGTGCCAGTGGTTCTCAACTGGGGGTGTTTTTGACCCTAGGGATGTTTGGCAAAATCTGGAGACATCTTTGGTGGTCTGGCTGAATGGAGTGTGACTGGCAGTTTGTGGGTAGAGGCCCAAGATCTTAGGAGGCATAGGACAGCCACCACGGCAAGGGGTTCTCTGATGCCAACAGCACTGAGGTTGAGAAACCTCGATCTGCGCAAGATCAGCAAACACAGATGTGCGAGCACAGAAAAACAGAGGCACAGGCTGCTACACTACACGTTTGTACGTCTCATCCTCGTCACCTGATCATGGAGGTTGTTCCACATCAGATCCCTTCCAGCCACAGGGTTCTCACCTGCACAGGTGTGTCGTTTACTTGCCCAGTCCCCTCTCGACAGACATTTCGATGGTTTTCAGCTACCATAAACAATGTTGCTCTAGTTCTTCCTGTTCTCAGTTTGGTGTGCAAATGCCCCTCTGCTGGGGTATGTGACTGAATGGAATCACCAGGCCATCAGCTTTGAAAGCCTGATTGATGGTCATTACCAGTACTCCTCCAAGGACAACCAGTATACATCGTCACCAACGATGCAGAGAGCGCTTCTCCCCAACACCTTTATCAACAGAATTGGGCTCTTCTGTCGTTCATCTGCCTTAAGCTTCACGTAATTTGCATAGTTTAAACCAATTGTAATTTCTGACCATTTGCTTTTCAGCATTTATTCTTTGAGTCAGGCTTTGGGGGAAGAAGGGCATAAATCTTGGTGCCTGCCCTCAAAGGTATTGCCGTTAGATTAGAGGGACGGAGACAAGCCAACCCAGTTTGTCCTGCGGTGCAACAGAATCTAGGAAGCAGCTGGCGTAGGACACAGGGGCGACTCAGGCTTCGTTCTCATGCAGGCCCAGGGTGTGTCCAGTGCTCTACTTTTTTTCATGAATAGCTTAGAAACTAGATTTCTATGGGACAATTCTTCATTTTGAAATAGTGGCAAAAAGTGCAAATAGTATTTCACTTGGCATTACGTGCTCAAGCTTTAATCACATTGTAGCGCATGTCAGAAATTAATTTATTTCTCTTTTAGTGTTGGATAGTCATCGAGGTGTGTGTGTACCACACTGTGTCCATTCCTCTGACGGTGGCGTCACCTTGGCCATTGTGGATGCTGCTGCTCTGACCCTGCTGTGGAAGTATCTAAAGCCAGCTTCCAATTCTTTGGGGTACACACCTAGGAGTGGAATTACTAGATTACATAATTCCATGTTTGACTTTTAGGTTTTTCTAAAAACTTTAAAAGGGTCTGGGGCTGTAGCTCAGGGGCAGAGCTCTCGCCTACATGTGTGGGGCAATGAGTTCGATCCTCAGCACCACATAACAAAAAAATAAATAAATAAAATAAAGGTATTGTGTGTCCATTTACAAATAAAAATATATTTAAAAAACAAAACAACAACAATAAAAAAACTTTAAACATTTTAATCTGTGTTTAAGGTAAAAACATCAGAGAAGAAAAATCATGCAGAGGAAATGCATGACGATCATCTGCCTCTGGTTGACATTTGCTGTTACTAATTGCAAAACTAAGGTGAGTTTATTTAAAGACAACATTTAGCAAACACAAAGAACAAGAAGAAAATTCACCAACAACCCTGTATCTCCAGGATAACGCTGTAGACCTTGAATTACTTTAAGAGAATGAAATGTAGACCAAGATTCCTGGAGAAAAGAAGGCTAAGCTTCAGAGAACCATCAAGGAAAAGCCAATCAGGGTTGGTGCCAAACCCTCTCCCTGCTCTTCCTTATCCACCCAGGATTCCAGCTGGAAGGACCGTCATTATAATCGGAAAAAGCTGGGATCATAGGGCTTGTGAGCAACGTGGCAGCTGTCCCCGGAGCCTGTGTCTTTACCTGTGGCAATAGCGGCCTCTCAGCAGGTAGTGTTCGGGGCATTTACCTTAACTGATGTTGTCATGAACCATTTCCCATCTCTGGAAGGTCTCTTCTGCAGAGCCATTTTCAGTCACTGCATGCCATTCCGGAGCAGCGGATGTGCCTCCTGGTCCTCTGTTGATTATGATCCATGGTTTCATGTGTATCTTATTTTATTAATGAGATTGATAGCATCATGTATGTGTGTTTGCACCTATCCTGATCTTTAGAATCTACTCCCCAAAGTCAAATTTCTCAATAAAATAAAACAAAAATCTCCAGGCATTTGATACACACTGCCAAGCTACTTCCCAGAAAATGTTGCTGATTTGCATTTCTACCATCAATATATAAGAATGCTTTCCTCTGTGCCTTGCTAACACTGGGTATTGATAATGAAAAGTCAGCAATTTTAAGTTAAATGTACTTTTGTTATCATATGACTTTATTATTTATGACATTCTCTGGTAAAACTAAAATACTGACCATACCAAGTGTAGGTGAGAAGGCAGAGGAACTAGAGCTCTGATGCCCCTTGGTAGGACTGCAAAATAGTGCAACCACTTTGGAAAATAGTTTTTTTTTTTTTTTTAAGACAATAAGATAACAAATAACCCAATCAACAAATGGGCCAAGGACCTGAACATACACTTCTCAGAGGAGGACATACAATCAATCAACAAGTACATGAAAAAATGCTCACCATCTCTAGCAGTCAGAGAAATGCAAATCAAAACCACCCTAAGATACCATCTCACTCCAGTAAGATTGGCAGCCATTATGAAGTCAAACAACAACAAGTGCTGGCGAGGATGTGGGGAAAAGGGTACACTTGTACATTGCTGGTGGGACTGCAAATTGGTGCAGCCAATTTGGAAAGCAGTATGGAGATTTCTTGGAAAGCTGGGAATGGAACCACCATTTGACCCAGCTATTCCCCTTCTCGGTCTATTCCCTAAAGACCTAAAAAGAGCATGCTACAGGGACACTGCTACATCGATGTTCATAGCAGCACAATTCACAATAGCAAGACTGTGGAACCAACCTAGATGCCCTTCAATAGACGAATGGATAAAAAACATGTGGCATTTATACACAATGGAGTATTACTCTGCATTAAAAAATGACAAAATCATAGAATTTGCAGGGAAATGGATGGCATTAGAGCAAATTATGCTAAGTGAAGCTAGCCAATCCCTAAAAAATAAATGCCAAATGTCTTCTTTGATATAAGGAGAGTAACTAAGAACAGAGTAGGGACGAAGAGCATGAGAAGAAGATTAACATTAAACAGGGATGAGAGGTGGGAGGGAAAGGGAGAGAGAAGGGAAATTGCATGGAAATGGAAGGAGACCCTCAGGGTTATACAAAATTACATACAAGAGGAAGTGAGGGGAAAGGGAAAAATAATACAAGGGGGAGAAATGAATGACAGTAGAGGGGGTAGAGAGAGAAGAGGGGATGGGAGGGGAGGGGAGGGGAGGGGAGGGGAGGGGGGATAGTAGAGGATAGGAAAGGCAGCAGAATACAACAGACACTAGTATGGCAATATGTAAATCAATGGATGTGTAACTGATGTGATTCTGCAATCTGTATACGAGGTAAAAATGGGAGTTCATAACCCACTTGAATCAAAGTGTGAAATATGATATATCAAGAACTATGTAATGTTTTGAACAACCAACAATAAAAATTAAAAAAAATAAAATAAAATAAAGCTCCAGTGTGCACTGAGCATTGGTGGTGCATGCTTATAGTCTTTAGCAGCTTGGGAGGCTGAGGCAGGAGGATCACAAATTCAAAGCCAGCCTAAGAAATGTAGTGAGGCCTTAAACAACATAGCAAGACCTTGTTTCTTAATAAAAAATTAAAAAGGGCTGGGGATGTGGCTCAGTGGTTAAGTGCTCCTGAGTGCAATCCCCAGCTTAAAAAAAAAAAAATTCAAGTGTGTACCCACCCTATGATCTAGCTATACCATGTCTGTGTGCTTATCCAAGAGGCCACAGAGAGACTTGCATACAAATATTTCTAGTAGTTTTAATTGTAATACCCTCAAGTTGAAAATAACCCACATGTCTCTCATTCGATGTGTGGAGAAACCAATTGTGGTGACTTCATGCAGTGGAACTATTCAGCAATAAAAGCAACATGCTATTGATACCTGCAACGGTGTGGGTGGAGCTCAGTCATTAGGCCAAGTGAAAGGTCCCAAACAGACAGTGTACACACCATATGATTCCATTTATGTAAGACTCTAGCAAGTATACACTCATCTGCAGTGACACTGATGTATAGTGACAAAAAGCAGGTCAGTATTTGTGTGGTGATGGGAGGCAGAGATCAGGAGAGAGGATTATAGAGGGAACTTTGGAAAAGCTTGGATGTGCTCACCATGTTGATTTGTACTCACAGCTTCATGGATATATACCTAGCACAGAGTAAATTGTGCCTTTAAATACGTGCAGGTTATTGCACAATAGTTACATATCAATAAAACTTAGAAAATCCCCTCAATATCAAGACATTCTCATTGCTTTAGCTATTATTGTAGTTGTTTGCTGAGCAGGTGAATGGCTTCTTCCAGGATGTCCACCTGGAGGTGTCCAGGGTAGCAGCCTTCCCAGTGAGCCAAACATCATTTCACCCATTCATCAGCCTTTCTACTTCATTTTATAGGTGCTGACTTTTATTTAATGATTTTATGTTTTTAAGCTCTCTTTGTATATGAAGGAGATTAAGAGAGTGCCTCTCATATGTTATAAGATGTTTTTGGTTTTGCAATGGGGAGCTGGCTTTTGACATGGATAAACCCGTGGTATTTACTTCTGATCTGATAACATACTTCTTGGCAAAGCACTGTCCCGTGAATACCTTTCTTGGCACCTTGGATCATTGATTGCTTCAGCATTTGTTCTTTTAGGAACAGGTTTGTCTAGCAACTTGTATTTATAATCTTCCTTGTGATTTGTTTGATCAGCGTATTGTTTCTTACGTTGGGCTGCTGCGGGCTTACCGGTCAAGTTCATTAGGCTTTGGTGGGCCTAATGAGGAGCTCACAAACCCAGCTCTTCATAAACTCACCCTCAAGAATGCTTCTCCTCTGCTCTTTTTCTCCTCTGACTATTGTTTCAATTTGTTGAGGTCTTATCACATACCTGCCTGGGAGCGGAGGGCTTTACCTGTCTTCACATCCTGTGGTTATAACCCTGTGAACCCAGGTCCTGTTAGTTCCATGTTTCATATAAGTAAACAACTCTTGGAGGAGTAAAGAAGATCTTATTCAGAACTACAAGGGGGAAAGGTGAGGATCCTCAACTGTGAACTCCTATGGGCCAGACTCCAAGGTGAGGCTCTTCTGCCACTCAGCGCCCTGGGGGTTTGATGGGTCACCTACAGGTTTGTCTTCATACTTTGTCTTTCAACCCTGAAAACAAACTGAAGATTTTGTGCACAATAGGCCTTGGGACCTGCTGGGTTGAGGAGGAAAGTCGAAGTCTGCAGAGCTTCCAGAACGTCTTCTCTTCAGTCGCAGACACCAGGATGTAGCCATCACGAAGCAGTGAGTGCTGGGGCCAGTAATCCCAGTGAGTCGGGAAGCTGAGGCAGGAGGATCCCAAGTTCAAGACCAGCCTGGGCAACTTAGTGAGGCCCTCAGCAATGTCAAAATAAAAAAGGGCTGGGGATGTGGCTCAGTGGTAAAGTGCCTCTGGGTTCAATCCCTGGTACAAAAAAAAAAAAAAAAAAAAAAAAAAAGAATTAGTGAGAGAGGATGGCTCACTGGGCCACACACTCCTCAGCAACAGACCCCAGCACATGACCACACCTCGACCAGAGTTTCTGGGTCTCACCACCATTGACACCTCCGGCAGGTCATTCTTCGTCCTGGGGCTGTCCCGTGAATCCTTAAGGGTTCAGCAGCATCCCTGGCTCCTACTAGGATACGCCAGTAGGCTCTGTCCCCTCCAGCTGGGACAACAGTGACCAGGGTCTCTATTGATGATGGCTGAACAGCCACCCTCACAGCTCCAAGGAGACACACTTGGAGCAACTGTCAGCAAAGAGACCCGGGGCGCGTTTCTCTCTCTGTCTCCTTTTCTACTAACCAACTTCCCTGTGGAAGCTAAATATTTGATTAGTGCACTTTGAAACCTGAGAAATGTTTGCTTAAACATATGGTTAATTAAAAGACAACATTTTTATCATCCTTTCCTATTACAGATAATTCTTGTTGAACTCATCTATTTGCCAATCCCAGTGCTGAGCCTCTTAATGGGTGTTCTCTCACCGATTACTCACCACTGTTGTGAAGAAGCATAAACATTGTCCCCATTTTAATGACGAGGAAACTGAGATTCGGACACCTTAAGGAAGTTCCTCAAGGTCTTTCGTAGACCAGGGTGCAGCTGGAGTCTTCGCCCAAATTTGTTTTACACGGGGGTTCTTTGCTATACTGATTTCTAAAATTAATATTCACAGAAAGAAGAAAATAAAAAAAAATAAAATCACTGCTAATCTTGTCACTCAGCCATTTTCTGTATCGGCATTTTTTAGTCTTTTTTTTTTCTTTTAAAAACACATGCTTTGGGAAAAAATGGGTTGTGTTTAATATTTAACTTTTTCTCCTGACATTTGGGACTACGTTTCCATCACGATGTTAAACATTCTTCACTGGCAACCTTTGAGAGGCCTGTATCATGTTCTCTTAGTGAACTGGTAAACAGTCTCCTGTTGTCAGCTGCTTTGGTTGCACTTTCCCGCCCTCCCTCCCTGGGTCCCTCCCTGCCTCCTTCTCCTCCTCTTCCCTGTTACTTACTCAGGATAGACTCCTGGCAGGAGAATGTGGAGGAAGAGATTATATTTTAAGTCTCATGATGCATACAATCGGGTCACATTCTCCCAAAGTTGTATTGATTGACATTTTACCTGCATAGTACGAATGGATGCACTTGATTCCCCCAAGAAACTCAGAGTTTCTAAAACCCACACCCACACCCACAGGCAGATATCACATATATCAGCATTTTTTGGACTACTAGTATATTTGATATTTCTTCATGAAACATAAGAAATTTATGCACTTTTTAAGAAGTAGCAATACAGTGACATTTAAAGATAGATTCTCTGACATCTGAGGAACACATCCATTTCAGAGAAAAAAAATCTGTAGACTCTGAGTGTTAACATGCATGTTTATTATACGTGATGTCACATCAACACGAGAAAGCTACACTTCTTAAAGTTCTTAGAGAAACTGGAGGAGAAAGCAAATTTACAAATCAATACAAACAAAACTATGAAAACTGTGAAGCTCAAATTAGTGGGATGATTTAATATGGTGGGTGAAGCAACCCTGCAGGAGGGAAATCCCCGTGGGCTGCCTGGTGGCCCAGCCAGCCGAGCAGTGCTGTTGCATCCTTGGTGACTCAGCCCGCCCACCACTTTCCCCCAACCACAGAGAAGCAGCACCTTCCAGCTGGCTCACAGGCTTTCTCGCACACTCAGCCCTACCTCTCCTGTTCCCTTCTGCCCCACAGCTAAAGTGATACTCAGGTCATTCATCGTAAACACAAGAACACAATCGAGTGGGGTGCTCCGTTAGAATATGGAAAGATTATCTTTAGACCATGTGCAAAAGGCAATATAAAATGGAAACTATTTTCTTATAGGGAACTCAAAAGCTCCACTTTGCTAAACTTTGAAAGCACAGGCCAAGGATCAGAGGGGCTGTGAACCAGTTGGAGTCAGTTTTCTCATCTGTAAAATGGAGCAGGTAACAGCTACCTCACAGTTTGGAGTGCATGGAGTCAGATGAATGCAGGAGAGCTAATGAAGACATGCCAATTCTCACTAACACATGTTCTTTGTTCCTCATTTGGTTTCCGAGAGAAAACTCAGACTGTGATGTCTTTACAGGAAAAATCTTGCATTCCAACAGAGGGCCACCAATTAATTACCTATATATTTAAAAGTCCCCAAGCCGGAGATGCATATTCCACGGGCCCCCTCTGGCACCATGCAGCCAAGGACAGATTTGAGGCTTCCACACTAGGGCTTTTGTTCCTTTCCTTGGTAGGATTTAAATTGACCACAGAGCTTCTCAGTCTCCCTGTTACATGGCTGGATGGTTCTGAGCAACTTCTTAGTGGGGAGCGACTGACCGCGAGGCAGCACAAACACCAGGATCCTGATTCACAACTTTCTGTGTGGGGTTTGACTTCTGCAGAAGGCTCCCCACAGACCTTCCCTCGCCTTCCTGCCATCTGACTCCGGGAAGGCGCCATCTCAGTCCCCCACCCCCCCAGCAAACCAAGCTGGATCACTGAATGCACTGCACCCCCCAGCCCCAGCACGCTGCAATGAGTTTACATGTTCCTTCTATTTGCTTTCTTTTTTTCTTTTTTTCCCATTTTGGTGCATTATGGCTGTACAGAATGCTGGGGTGTTGGTACACATTCATACTTGCACACAATAAAACAATTTGGCCAATTATTCACCAGCACTGCTCCCTTGGGTGTGCACCTTTTCTTGAGGTTTCCAGCCTGTCTCTTGAAAATGTAAATGAATCCTTCTCTTTCCTGGAGCAGTAGGGGCAGTTGAGGACACACTCCAGGCTTGCAGCTCCCTGAGGGCCCCCAGGCTCCGGCCTCAGGCTTCCTAATCCTGTGACTCACGAGCCTCCTGCTACCAGTGAAGCTGCCAGTTCCTCCAAACCAGACTTTCTTGCTTGCTTGCACCTGGGAGTGAACCCAGGAGCGCTTCGCCACTGAGCCACATCCCCAGCCCATTTAATTTTTTATTTTGAGACAGAGTCTTGCTAAATTGCTGAGGCTGGATTTGAACTTGTGATCCTTCTGCCTTAGGCCTCGGGAGTAGCCGGGATTACAGGCATGTGCCACTGCACCCAGCTCCTTCAGACACTTTTAGGAAACCCTTTGAAGCTTCACTTTATTATATTATCATTATTAATTGAGGTCCAATTTGCATACAATAAATTGTAAAGGTTACAAGTACAGTTTTATGGGCTGGGGATGTGGCTCAAGCGGTAGCGCGCTCGCCTGGCATGCGTGCGGCCCAGGTTCGATCCTCAGCACCACATACAAACAAAGATGTTGTGTTCGCTGAAAACTAAAAAATAAATATTAAAATTCTTTTTAAAAAAACAAAAAACAAGTACGGTTTTATGAGTTTCAACAAGTGTCTACACCCTTGTAACCATTGCCCCAATGATACGCAAATGTTGCCAGTTCTAGAATGTAATAGAAATGGAACCAGATGACCAATCTGGCTTCTTTAGATGTTTTGTTTTGGAGACTCATCCATGTTATAATATGTATCCTCAGTTCTTTTAAAAATTATTCCTGGGGGGCTGCAGTTGTAGCTCAGTGGTAGAGCGCTTGACTCGCATGTGTGAGGCATTGGGTTCGATCCTTAGCACCACATAAAAATAAAATAAATAAAATAAATGTATTGTGTTCACCTATAACTTTAAAAAGAAATTAAAAAAAAATTATTCCTGGGGCAGGAGGTGGAACTGAGTGGTACATCAATCACTTGCCCAACACATGCAACACCCAGGGATTGATCCCTAGTGTCACACACACAAAAAAATAAAAATAAAAATAAAAATTCCTGTGAAATAGCCCATTGTGTGGATGACAGCACTTTCTTATTAAGTTACTTTTCAATGGGTATTTATTGTGTTTTCCAGTTTGTGATTATTATGAACAAGGCTGTGATAAACATCTCTATAACTTCTTCTGGGAACATGTGTTTCATTTCTCTTGGGTCAATTCCTAGGAATGGACTCGCTGGGTCATGGGAGAGAGATTTATTGAATCTAAGTATAGAAACTGCCAAACTTCTCCAAAGTGGAGAACGGCTTGGTTTTGAGCTCCTGATTAAACTGTGTGCCTATTACCTGTCCCCTTACATTAGCACAAGGGCTTTTCCTTTCTTCTTTGTCTGGGAAGAGTGATTGCAAAAAAATAGCATCTACTCATTTTTCTGTATGTCCATCCTCTTTGCAAATGCTGTCTCTACAGTGGTTGGCATTAAGAGGGGGCTCTAGCTGGATGGCATGTCTGTAATTCCAGCAACTCAGAAGGCTGATGCAGGAGGATCGAAAGTTTGAGGCCAGGCTTGCGATTTAGCAAGGCCTTAAGCAACTTAGCAAGACGCTGTCTCAAAATAAAATACAAAATGGAAAAAGGGCTGGGGATGTGGCCCAGTGGTTAAATGCCTCTGGGTTCAATCCCCACTACCAAAAAAAAAAAGTGGGGGGATGTAGCTCAATGGTAACCCCCCCCCCAAAGTAGGTGGCTCTATTTCACACACCTTGAATATTGATTGGATTTTTGTCTTGGCTTGACCAGCAGAATTCAGTGGAAATAAGAGGCCCAGTTCCCAGCTTTGGCCTCAAGAGCTGTCATGTGAGTCTGTTTTTATATTGAAACTGCTTCTATCAGCAAGGTACAAGTCTGACCTTCTTAGGTGGACCAGAGGCCACATGGAGAAGGGCCTTGTTGTCTCAGTCGAAGCACCATGGAGCAGCCTATAGCCTACCTCCAGACACAAGAGAGAGCTGGGCCTAGCAGAAACACAAACTCTACCCAGTGCTCATCACAGAAGCAGGTGTGAACTGACCTTGGTAGAACCATTGACTGAATGCCTGGACTCATAATCAGTAACAATTGCTTTTCATTTTAAGTTACTGAGTTTGGGGGTGATATGTTATGCAGCTGTACCTGACTGATACATTTTTATTGGGATAGAGCATAACCACTTCCTTCATTGTTTACCACTTGGGTAAATAGAGTCAATTTAGTTACCATCTGAGCCTTAACATACCTTCTCAGAAACAGGGAATAACCATGTAATGCTTACTTGATAAAACTGTTTTGGATGATCAGTGAGTGCAAGAACATAGTGCCTTGCTGATAGTTGCTCAGTCAATTTCACAGCAATCACAATGATACACAAAACCACCACCTGCTCTTTGTACCTCAACACATTTTCTTGTAGCAGAATCATCTGTGATTTTAGAACTAGCAGGACCTGGATATCCTCGAGATCTGACCCTCGGTTTGTCTTTTAAATCTGTTGATGGATAGATTGATTGTGGTGCTGCGGATGGAACCTGGGGTCTCCCACATGCTAGGCAAGGGCTCCACCACTGAGCCACATGCCCAGCCCAGGGATTTGAACCCCCAGTTTCAAATCCCCAGACATTTTGTAGCCACCTGATACTAATTTTCCTTGATTGAGGAGATAATGGCAAATGGACAGTTGTAGATTCTCAATTGCTTCTGCAGGGGATTTGTACTTTATAAATCACAACAGTGCTGCCAATACCTCTGAAAACTCGTGGCACGTGAAAAATGAGCTGCACTCACTCAGTTGACAGATGTTATTTTCTGTGTGTATCAAATCATGGGATTTCCTGTCTTCTCAAACCTTCCATCACTGCAGGGGTCAATGGGCCATCTCTTGAC